CCCAGTAGTCGGGGGAGCGGGCATTCAACTTTTCCTGACTTTTACAGATGCATTTTATCAAGTTGAGGAAAGTCCTCTATAATTCTAGTTTTCTTGGGGAGGCCTGTATTTAATCATGAATGGGTGTTGAATTTTGTCAAGTGCTCTTCCTGCATGAGTTGGTATGGCATGAGTTGGTATGCAAATAGTAAATCTCTTTTTCAGTCCATTAATATTATTGATAGAAGTGAATGGTTTGGAAATATTCAACTTATTTGCAGTCCTAAAATAAACTACACTTGACCATGGTGTATAATTCTTTATATTCCTGAATTTCATTTTCTAATATTTCACTAGACTTGAAACTATGTTCATGAAGAAAACAAGGGTACTTCAGAATATTTGTGGAAAAATGAAGCAAAAGATGCTTATTTTAGTGCAAAATTTTTGAAATCCATGTATATAAGGTGACCATCAAAAACTTCATGGAAAATATGGGGTGGATGTTTGTCACGGCAGTTAAGATGCCATATGGGATGCTCACACCCCTTAGCAGAGTGCCTGGTTTGCTGCTGCTGCTTCTTCTTCTTCTTCTTTAAGATTTTGTTTTATTTATTTGAGAGATATAATTACAGACAGAGACAGGGAGAGAAAGGTCTTCCATCCACTGGTTCACTGCCCACATGGCTGCAGTGGCTGGAGCTGGGCTGATCTGAAGCCAGGAGCCAGGAGTTTCTGCCAGGTCTCCCGCCATCTGTGGGACTAGAACTGGGGCTGCCTGGCACTGCAGGCAGAGGCTTAGCCCACTATGGCACAGCCTCCCCCAGGTTTGCTTCTGATTCCAGCTTCACCTGGGAGGCAGCTGGTGAAGACTCAAGTAGTTGAGTCCCTGCCATCTATGAGGGAGATCTCGATCCAGGATCCTAAGTTTGGACTGCCCCACCTCCAGCTGTTGAAGGCATTTGGAGAGTTAATGTGCAGATGGAAGATCTCTCTTTATCTTTCAAATAAAATGGAGATAAATAAAATAAAAAATTAAATATTAGACATATGCGACAGAAAGAAAACCCAGGACCATACCAGCAATATTGTTCCCTAGGTTCCTGATGTCTCTAGCCAGTGCTCCTTCTTTTCTCCACATTTCTGATATTTGTATGTTTTCTACATATTGTCCAGAATTTTCAATTGCATTTAGAGGAAGAATGGAGATTAGTGTGTGTATTTTATCATTCTCTAAGTGACAGTCATGTCTGTATAATTTTATAAAATTAATGGAATCACTTATAGATAGAGCAAATACAGTATATTAATTTCTTATTTAGTATATATGGACTTTCTGATATTAATTTGATGAACTTAATATGATTTTTTCTTATTCTAATTCTTCTTATTTACTCCACCTGATTTTTTGTTGGCTATAACTTTAGCCTTCAATTTTCAATTATAACATTACAAATTCCATTATTTTCCTCTAAACCCTAAAATATATTTTTTGAATTATCCTATTTAAACAACAATATTTTTAAAAGATTTAGTTATTTATTTGAAAGGCAAAATCACAGAGAGAGAGGGAGCAACAGAGAGACAGGCAGAGACAGACAGAGATCTTCCATTCACTGGTTCACTATCCAAATGGCCACAACAGCCAGGGCTAGGCCAGGCCAAATTCAGGAGCCAGGAGCTTCCTCTGGATCTCCCATGTGCAGGGGTCCAAGAACTTCAGCCATCTTCCACTGCTTTCCCAGGTGCATTAACAGGGAGTTAGATTAGAAGCAGAGCAGCTGGGACTCTAACTGGTGCCATTAAGCTGCATTGCAGGTGGCAGCTTAACCCACTGCACCATAGTGCTGGCCCTAAACAATGTTTTGACACAGATCTGTTCCACCCATCCCAGAACCTTTAATGTAGAAATAAATTCAGTAAACATACTCTTCATTTCTCTGTTCTTCCAGTTTAGCTTAATAACTTTATGATAAAAATCTCTATATTATTATAATTTAGAGCATTTATTGCCTGTCATGGATCCATAATTTCCACAGCTGCTTTAAACTTAGCCCTAATTAAAATAGATTTAATGTTTACCAATAGTCTTTGTACCAGAGATTTTCCATTTATTGTTTTGATGGTTCAAATTTCTCTTCCAATAACTTCTTCTAAATATTTTAAGGCTACTATATTCTCAGAAACTTTTATTTTCAAAATTAGTTAAATATTTGTCATCACACTATGTTTGAACAAAAGCTGAATTGTATATAAAATATTTCCTTTTTCCCCCAAGAACTTAATATATGTTGATTAATCGCTTGCTAGTAATTTTTTTTTTTTTGACAGGCAGAGTGGACAGTGAGAGGGAGAGACAGAAAGGTCTTTCTTTTTGCCGTTGGTTCACCCTCCAATGGCCGCCGTGGCCGGCGCATCGCGTTGATCCAAAGCCAGGAGCCAGGTGCTTTTCCTGGTCTCCCATGAGGGTGCAGGGCCCAAGGACTGCACTCCCGGGCCATAGCAGAGAGCTGGCCTGGAAGAGGGGCAACCGGGACAGAATCCTGCGCCCCGACCGGGACTAGAACCTGGTATGCCGGCGCTGCAAGGCAGAGGATTAGCCTAGTGAGCTGCGGCGCCGGCCTAGCTTGCTAGTAATTAATGTTGCTGTGAAGCAACAACTGTGAAGCCCAACTGATTTTTCTCCCTTTTAAATGATCTCACAAATTTTTGCTTTAAAAATACATTTATTAATTTGTATTATTTAAAGGGCAGATAGTCAAAAAGAAGAAACTAGACAGAGATATCTTCTATCCACTGGTTCATTCCCCAGATGCCTGCAAAGGCTGAATTTGGACTCGGAAAAGTCAGGAGTCGGGAACTCAATCCAGGTCTCCCAGGTGGGTGGCAGAGACCCAAGTATTTGAGCCATAACCTGCTACCTTGAAGGATGTGCTTTAGCGGGAAGCTGGATAGGAAGCAGAGGCAGGACCTGAATCCAGGCACTCTGATATGGGATGCATGTGTCCCAAGTGACGTCTTAACCACTGTGCCAAACGCCTTCCCTTCATATTTTCCCTTATAATAAATCTTAATTATTTTTTCCCAGAATAGAGGATATCCATTCTGCCTGGAGCACAATATCTTTTACTTCAGCAGGAAAAAATGCTGAATTTTATATCTGAACACTTTTTCTGCTTATACACTTCTCTTCTTGTTCATTTCATTCCATTAATTTACTCTCCTCATTTTCAGCATATTCTCCATGTTTCCTGGCTGTGTCATCAACAGATCCCATTCTCCTATTTTCTGTTTCCAACATGGCCTTCATTTATATGATGTGAGGTGTAATTTTCATTTTCACTTTTCTGAACTCGGCCAGCTTACTTTTTCATTTCCTTTTGTTGTCTTTTCATTTATTCTGTGAACCCTGTATCTCTACAATGCACTCACATTTTATAGAGAACACTTTTTCATGATGTCCTTTGAATTACTGGAAGAAATCCTGGTTAATATCTTCATGTGCTCCACAGCAAAACGTTTGAGCTCTAGGTTCATCTGCTTTTTTCCCCCTATTCCCTTCTAGAATAATTTGTACTAAAAAAGAAAACAGCCTTGGAATGATTTCAATTTTTGTTTTCAAATTGATGGGACCACTTAATGCACCAGCTTAATCTTTATTTGTACTATTTTTTGTGTGTGCACTGGATATTTCTGGAATGATGCTTTGAATTTGGGGCTAGAAAATTATCTCAACTATTTTGGAGCCTTCCTGGCTCACAGTTAAACTCCATACGACACCAGATGTAGGATGTGTGTGCATGTGTATATATGAATGCGTGTATGCTTGTGCATGTGTATGTGTACATGTATGTTAGTGCATGTGTGTGTGGTGTGTGTGCATTTAGCCTTCCTTTAGCTCCAAGGTTGCTTGCCACTAAAGATTCCCATCTGTGCTAGAACAGGTTTGAAAACATGATATATCTGTGCATTTCTGATTTTCTCCATCTTTCCCCCTCCATCTTATGATATCTAGGAGAATTCAAGAAAGCTCCTATAGTCTATTCACTCACCAACTCCTTGTTTTTCAACTTAGGGTCATTAGTTTTGCCCTTCTGTATGTGCCAGAAGTGGCTGCACGGCTGGCCATACACACAATCCATAGGCACCCAGCATCCTCCCCACAGGCCCCTCCACTGGACTCGAGAGCTCTTTTACTATTATAATCATCACTATGATAACAGTCAAGATTATGAGGTGGGACAAGAAAGTTTTGAAGTTTCCAACAAAGGCTGTGCTTTCCTTTCCATATCTCCTTTTTTCTTATAGCTTTCAGTGGGCTTCTCAAAGAGGATTGCAAATCTTAGTTTTATTATTAGATATTTTCAACACTTAATTTTTGGCAATTTAAAAAATTTAGCCAAAGCTATTTAAAATTTTCCTGCTGGTTAAGAGTTTGGGTGACATCATCTTTATTTCCTTTCCCTCCCCTCTGCTCTTCTCCCCTCCCCTTCCTCTACCCTCCCCTCCTTTACCCTCCCTTCCCCCCCCCCACCCTTGTTTGTTTCCCAGTAGGTTATTTCCTAAATACTGCTATGGGAGTATCATTGTGATACACGGGGTTAAACTGCTATTGGTGAATCCAGCATCCCATATCAGAGCACTGGTTTGAGTCCTGGCTGCTCTGCTTCTAATCAGCATTCCTTCTAATGTGCCTGGTAAAGCAGCAAAAGACGGCTCAAGTACCTGCATCCCTGCTATCCATGTGGGAGACCTGAATGGAGTTCCTGGCTCCTGGTTTCCACTTGGCCCAGCCCTGGCTATATGGGGGAGTGATCTCTCTATCCCTCCCCTCCCCCACTTCTGTTACTCTCCATTTCAAATAAACAAATATTCAAAGCAAAACAAATAAATAAACATTTAAAGAAAAAAGTTTGGTAAACAATGCTCCTATAATTATATTCCCTTGAACCAAATCTGCTTCCATAGTTTGGATTAATTAGTGCTTGGATAAGCACAGTGACCCCTGTGGCCATGGTTACCTTGCTGACACTTGGGTCCCATTCGGCCAGGTGGGCACTGACACTCTCCAGTCACTGGGTCACACTGTCCTGAGCCACAGAAACACCACTGGGCACAATCTTTCCCATAGTGATCAGCAGGACAAGCTGCAAGAGAGAGCAAAACAAAGCCAAGCCAAGCCAAACCAGGTTATTCTTATTAAACATTTTACTGGATAAGATTTTTGAAAACTTATAGGCACCTGGACCTTTCTTTTAATTAAATAGATTTCACTGGCCAGCGCCGCGGCTCACTAGGCTAATCCTCCGCCTAGCGGCGCTGGCACACCGGGTTCTAGTCCCGGTCGGGGCTCCGGATTCTGTCCCGGTTGCCCCTCTTCCAGGCCAGCCCTCTGCTGTGGCCAGGGAGTGCAGTGGAGGATGGCTCAGGTGCTTGGGCCCTGCACCCCATGGGAGACCAGGAAGGGCGCCTGGCTCCTGGCTCCTGCCGTCGGATCGGCACGGTGCGCCGGCCGCGGCGCGCTGGCCGCGGCGGCCATTGGAGGGTGAACCAACGGTAAGGGAAGACCTTTCTCTCTGTCTCTCTCTCTCACTGTCCACTCTGCCTGTCAAAAAAAAAAAAAATAGATTTCACTGACTTGTATTCAGTTTGGTTTTCCACCAAAAAGTTTATTTTGAAAAAACAAAAGGAACTGTTCAAATTGTTGCTTACATAGAACGATTTTAGTCGGCGGGGTGAATTTCCAACAAATGTCTAGCATCAAAAACTAACATGTAGCATAAATGTCTCTTAGAAATTAGGAACCCTAACACCTTCCCAATTTGCATAAATCTTTCTTTGCTAGGTGGGCCTATTTTACCAAAACCTTGCATGTTGTGTATATGTGTGTGGGTGTACACATATATCTCTGTGTATTACATAATTACATAATATGCAGATACTTTAAACAGTTCATGCAAAGTGGAATTAAAAGTTAAGTTCATTTTGGTGCAAATTATTTTTAAAATCTATGCATAATCTTTACATAATACACATTTTCCATGAACTCTTTGAAGATGACTCAAATATACCTATGTAATCATGATCAAATTATATATATTTATAATGATTTTGTGTGTTTCTACTTAAAGTCCATTCTTGAATCTTAGCTTATACTCCTAAACATTTACATTAACATCCAATATGCTCATCTCTTCAAATATTGTAAATGTATTTATTAATTTGCCTATGTATTGATGCTACTTCATTCCAAAATTTGAGATGCTAACTAGTACAGATAACATTAAAAGATAAAATAAATTTCTTTGAGAATCAATATGGTAAGAACACATACATAAACAATTAGCATAATTCCTTGACCTTGTAAGAGGTCGGCTGAAAATTTGGCTTTAACCTACCTCTCTTGTCAAAGTAAATAAAAAGAAAGCTCAGGTAAAAGATCATAGCTTTCTTAAGAGGAAAATACTCCCAATCTGCAGGGAAACCACAGATTTTGGAAATGCTTTGGCCAGAGGAAATTTCTCCCATTGATTCTCTTTGAAGAACAAACACAAAGGAGCCAGCCAGAACCCTCCTTAGGAAATGTTTATGGGTTGGCTTTAACTCAAAGATAACTTGGCAGTTGAGGCCTCAGAGGCAGGATCCACTAGTTGTCAGTTGTCTGCTACCTGGAATCTGGACTTTGTCTTACCCTCAGTACAGCAGGCGAACAAGGCAGGAAAATTAAACAGAAAAAAAAATCACTCTCATATGAATAACAGAGAGCAACTACTTTCCTAGGGAAGAAGCATTTTGGGTGTTTTTAGCGCACGACTTAGTACCGTGCCTAATCACAAACTTAACTAGCATTCTTCTAAATGAAAGGATCTCGGCTGAAGAGATTTCACCATCTGGTCACAGTGCTGAGCTAAGTGTGCACGAATAAGAGTTAAGACAGTACTTCCATCTTTAAGATCTACTGCTGGATCTTTTACTCTTCTAAGAGGTCTAAGATAACAGAAAAGAGCACCAAAGTATAAATGTGCATCTCAATGAATGATCACAAAGTGAACATCCTCATCAATTGGTCCGAGGCCTAAACACAATATTACCAGGACCACCTCTCCTACCGTGTGCTCTCCTAATCACTCCTTCTCCAGCTTCCCTAAAGATCATCAGAATCCTGATTGCAAACATGAGGATTTGTTCTGACTACCTAACCGTCACAGACAGGCCAGAGGAATCAGAGGGTATGAGTGTGTCTAGAGTGATTTGGATTAAACACAAACTCTCCAAATGTTTAGAAAATGGCAGATCTGACAAAATAATGTATTCACTAAGGTATATCCCTAAGTTATCAGAGCCTGGGTATTTTTACATGTTCTTCAATATATATCTGGTCCCTTGAACTTTATGTCAATAATTGTTTTTGTGATAAGTAGTTAAGGTTTTTGGGTTTTAGGACACTGTTCACTTTTTGGTGACTAGGGAAAATGCTTACTTTTGAGCTGGAAGATTGCTGAAGGTAAATACAATCATGGAACTTTAGCCAATGGGCTTGATATTGTGAACACAGGAATCCAAGGCCTGCTCTGATCTTCTCAAACAGATGTTCTAATTGTGACTTTTTTTTTTTTTTTTTGACAGGCAGAGTGGACAGTGAGAGAGAGAGACAGAGAGAAAGGTCTTCCTTTTGCTGTTGGTTCACTCTCCAATGGCCGCCGCGGCCAGCGCACTGCAGCCGGTGCACCGTGCTGATCCGATGGCAGGAGCCAGGAGCCAGGTGCTTTTCCTGGTCTCCCATGGGCTGCAGGGCCCAAGCACTTGGGCCATCCTCCACTGCACTCCCTGACCACAGCAGAGAGCTGGCCTGGAAGAGGGGCAACCGGGACAGAATCCGGCGCCCCGACCGGGACTAGAACCCGGTGTGCCGGCGCCGCAAGGCGGAGGATTAGCCTAGTGAGCCGCGGCGCCGGTCCTAATTGTGACTTAAGTTCAACACTGTTGGGCAATGGGGTTATGACTAAATGGATCTCTTTATCTCCTTTCACTGACTCCAGTTCTCAATAAAAATTTGATGTAAGTAGTCCTCAATCTAGAGTTGAGGTTGGTTTGTGTTTGCTGTTATTAATTAAAATCATTGTAACTACATTTACTTTTCTAAGTGCGATTCTTAAAAACTCAGCTTTAGCACCTTTACTACCAGTAGTGGACCTTGGGATGATGAACATATTCACTCCCTCATAGGTAGGAGGAACGTACGTTCACTGCAGTCAGCCCCAATGAAGCCAGGAGGGCAGTTGCAGGTGCCAAGCGTGGTGTCACAGGTGCCGCCGTTCAGGCACTTGCATGTCTTTTGGCAGTATGGACCGTAAGTGCCTTTTCTGCATCCTGTGAAAGGAGAGCAAAGACACATGTAGTGCTGTCACTTGAGGCAATCGGTGTTTAAATTCATGCCCACAGACATGTGGTCAAGTCAACATTCCATCGGCTGCTCTTTGGAACTTTCCATCACCTTCAAGCTATTGCTTCAAGATATGGACATACCTGTGGATATGAGATGATACAGTCAGATGGATATTAGGGTCTGGTGCTGCTCAATAAGAAGGGATAAAACTTAAATTTGAGCTTCTTTGGAAGTCCACATACTTGTAAAGAATACAGAATAGGTGACAATTTGCCAACAAACAAGAAGATTTCATTATAGCATAGATAAATTCATCATCTTATTTAATGTTTAAGTGCCACAGACTGTCTTGTCTGGAATAATATGGGTGTAATGCAGACAAGAATTCAAAAAAGAGACCAAGAATAAAGCACCTCTTTTCATTTTCTGTTAGTTTTTTTTTCTTTCATATCCACGGAAGTGTGGCCTAACATAATAATATTTAAGTAAGAGATAAATACATTGCCGAAGAATGAATTTTACCCATATTCAAACGTTTATAATGCCCATATACAATAATATCCTGCTCCCAAACAGATTGTTCTCACCTGGAGTCTTGGATTTTGCTTATAGACTTGAAGGCTGGCTGTCCCGTTCCTCCCTGCTTACAGTTTAGAATGAGATTCTCCATGACGGAGATGGAGAGCAAACACTTCATCCGTACCACAGGCTATTTTTCTGATAGCTGTTCTGAGCCACTTTTCAGTGCATAGAATTATTTACAAAAACCCAATAGAATGTACCTAAAACCAAAATTAGTGATCTTAAAAATATTCATTTATTTCTCTTCTCTCATTTGCCAAGACATAAAATTCTTCCTTATGTCCATCTGGGTCAGTTTTTTAGAATGTACAATTTTATAGCTTTTATCAAGTTAGTAATATAGTAAAATAGATGTGTGGTATTGAAAAAGAATGTTTGGTTTCTTGATATTAAAGAAAAACACAGAAGACAAGATGAAGCTATGGAGACCGATACATTGAGGTCTGCTGTGTATGGTTAGTATGTTGTTTTTAAAAAGAAGTTAAATTAATAAGGGTTGATTGGCATAGAAAACTCTGGAGTCACATTACTGTGAAGTGGAAAATAACATGGATTTCTGTTCAGGGAAGGAAAGGAGAAACACTTTATAAAGTGAAACATTTTTATTGAGGAAAATGTTAAACTGTTGATATAATTATGAATATCAAAGCATCATCAACTCAGCTGAAAGGAAAAGAGAGCTTATGCAAAATTATTTGATGTATTTAAATAACTGATATATCCCATGAAGGTCTAGATTTTGAGATAATTGCCATGTGAGTTAAAGTTACTTGGGACACATAGTTCCTCCGTGACATATACCCATTTTGCAAACTACTTTAGTTATGATTTCGTAAAAGAAACACCCTTTTCTGTTTTTTCTTCACACATAGGAAAAAAGTTCACTCATTTTTAGCCTTTAACTTCATTATCCTTTTGAACTTGGACCCTGAATTTGATGAAATTAGCCTATTAATGAGTATGCCAATATATGTTCTAGCCTCTTAATTCAACTCACCAAATTTGCATCAAGAGTACAGTATGTGTTTACAGAAATGTCCATAACTTTTTGATTCCAAGAGCAAATTATTGTATTGATAATTCCAATTTCCCATTTAATTCTGTACTATGAGAACATTTGTCTTCTAGAGTCAACCACAAAGCCTTTGCTCAAATGTTCACTAAATTTAACAAGGAAACACACCCAGGGCATAATGATTTCATTTGACTCGTGTAAGAAAAATTAAGTTTCCCCTCCCTCATTTCCTAAAGCTCCATTTTGGTCATTACATGGCCTTTGCCTGTTCCCTTACAATTCCTTCTTTTTAGAAATGTCATCTTCCGGGAAAGGAGTGTTCCAATGGATCCTTCCATTATGAGGTGACTATTTTTTCCAATCCTTACATAATCCCCTCTTCTTGCACCTCCATTCCAAGAAGAAACGTGGACAGGAACTTATGGTTTTGATTTGTTTAAATTTTAAATGTCACATAGCCAGCTCTCTACTGTATGCTGTGATAACATTAATGGCATTTGGTAGTTTCATTAGAAACTTAGAACAACCAAGGCTGTGACTGTATCCTGAGACAAATGAAAAGCATGAGTCTGTTTTTCCCAAGTTCTGTTTTCCTAGTATTTGCCCAGGTTACTCACTCTCCTACTAGCCATTGTTATAGTTTTGTTTTACTCTTACAAAAAAATACCAGGATTTGGTCTGTCTGAATTTTTTTTATTGCTCTGAGCAATAGCATTAAGGCCAAGATTTTATGAATGTCTTGGCATCTTTCTCCTGTCACTGGGAGGCTTTTCCATGGCCCATGGTCCTCAAAGCATTCTCTACCAAGTGTGTGTGTGTGTGGGGGGGGTTTCTCAGGAATACCGTCAATAGAGCTGACTATGGTTAGAGAGGATTCCAAGGCCTTACATTCTCGTAGAAAGAGTGACTATAAATAATACATATTGCAGGTTGGAGAAATAAAAGATTTCCAGGGTCTGTGGTCACTTTAAAATCTCTCATTGGTCATAAAATACATAGCACAATGTGTTTATATCTACTGGGCAGTATTTTTTTTCCTACATGCTATCCACACTCCGGGACTGACCTGTCTATCCTTTGAATTATAGACAAGTGGAGAGATTCTTACTCCAAGTTTGTCTGCTTTCTCTGACCTCTGCCGAGAGAAAATTTTGATTCTCCACTCTGAACTTGAGAACATGAAAGCCCAGTTGTTCTTGGCTGGTGAAACTTTTGCTTTTCAGCCAGCTACACCTTTTATGGATATTTTCTTGAACCTTTTTTCATAGTCCTGTAATTACAGTGGATGTTGCCAAGGAACCCTTGCAGCCACATCCAACCGCGTGTTGCCTGGAACAAAGCCAATTTGACTAGTCAGGGAATGGCTCCTTGACTCAGCCAGACTCGCTTTTACAAGGTGACGCTACCCTCCTTCACCCAAGGTAGCTTGTCTTCTGAAATGAAAGTACAACTTAGTTATGTGTAACTTGATATTATTTTGTTTAGATAAACTTTCCTTGATATCAAGAAGGAATTCTTTCTGAGATAGGTGATTGAGTCAAATATAAGAAATAACTTCCTTTCTTCTAATACAAGGGTGCATGATATTACTATAACTGAAGACTAATGGAAAATGATTAATTTTATATTTTAGTTCTTCATTTTAAGTTTGAATAACTTCAATGGTTATGGTCCCAAACAAAATATTCTTTGAAACCATATTCATACATGCTTGTGTTTTTAGCTGGTAATGTTTAAAATGAGGAAAAATTCTAGAGGTGATACTCAAAATATATATTCTACAGCTTGTAGAAAATGAAAGTCAATAGGTTGACCATGAGTCCATGTTTCTAAAGTGGTGTTCAGAGGGAAAAAAAATCTTCAAATCACCCAAATCCTTTTTGAATTAGGGAAGTAGAAAGAATCTAACATAGAAAGGCCTGTGGAGGAAAGAGTATCCATCGCCAAGCTGGAGGACCACAATGAAAATGACGCCAAATCATTTTATTCTTAAACCTATAAAAAGTACATTATAAATAATTACAAGCTTAAAAATTAAGTAGCTGCCTGAACATTTTAACATGCTCTTTGGGACTTTTTTTTGGTACCTTCTCTTATAACCATTTTCTATGTTAAAATGTCCTAACAAATCAATATAAGGTGTTTGGTCTAGGGACTATTCTCTTTTATTACTCAAAAATGAGCCAACTGGCATGTTGTCATTTAAGCTAGTCATCATTTTCATTCCAGAACAACAATTTGTTTAATTTGATTGTTCCTAAGCAGCGCCTGGAACTAACTTACTTTATGAATCACCTTAAATATATTGTCATTTGCTGCTCACCGATTTATAATAACACATTTACATTTTCTTGCTTCTGTTTTCTTTGCCTTTCTTTTCCTTTGAGATATTTGTGAAAAACTTGGGGATAATTTGGATAGAACGGGCAAAATACAACAATAAAGTATATGTTTTCAACTACTCAAATGACAATTTCCACTGAATTTGCTATGAATTGCAAGGTTGAGTTAATTTTCCCTTCAGTATTCCAGGTGACGGTCCACTCTGTCTGTGCCTCCTCAATAAATTATGACTGAGCAGACAGCACACTCACAGAAATGGCAGTAGTTTCCATAGTAGCCAGGTAGGCAGGTACATCTCCCTGTGACTGGGTGACAGCCTTCATTCTCAGCTGAGCACTGACATCCCTGGTCACAGCCCTTCCCATATGTGCCTCATGGACAAACTAAAGGGAAGAGGAAATGTAAACCTGATGAATTAAATTTGTCCGTGTAAATATAGCTGCAAAAGTGAAAGCAGAGAAAAATTTATTAAATAAGACCATTGCCTACAGAAGTGTGCTGCCCTTTGGGATTTAGGTTTCATTAAATTTACTCGGGGATTACTTCACTGTTTGATTTTGTTTTGTTCAGTCAATTTGCGACCGACTGTCAAGGACTGGCTGCAATTTTCTTGTCACTGAAAAAAAAAATCATAGGGTGATGTCAGGTAAAATCAACTAAAATAATAGTATAATTCATGAGGGACCACATATCTGGATAAAGATATTTTTTTCTTGGTACAGCCGGTTTAAACTCTCAAGGTTGTTTCTCTTGGTGCATTAGCATGTTCTGTATTTGTGTCACTTGTCAGCTACTCTACTGAGTTCTGCTGTTTTCTTTCTCTAGACTGAGCAGTGAAAGCTTTACCTCCAACTTCCAAATAACATCATGCCATGTTATCTATCTTAAAAATAAAAAGACTTCCTGGGTATTTTTAAAATGGAGTCACGTTGACATTTTGAGTTTCATTGTTATGTCTCAATGACAATTCACACAAATTCAATGGAAAAAGCACAGAAGTTGGCCATTAGGTCCCAGAAACCTAAAATTGAATAATAATTACCG